AAATCAAAAAAGAATAATAAGGTCGATTCGGGGTTCGACTCCAGTAACGATGACTCTGATCACAAGGCTCTCTACTTCTTTAAAAATATTTCATATGACATTATTACTATTTTGGTTCTTTTCTATTAACATTTTTTGTATTTTGAATGAATTTGAGTATGTAGCGTAGTACATATGTTTCCGACTATGTATGGCATTGATTATTTGACATAGATGAATTTTGTTAAAAAAATTTATATATTTTTTGTATATTTTCTGTATATAGGCTATATTTTGACATGTGCGTCGTTGCATGCCATTTTTTAAGATTTATCCTACTATTTGGTTGGTTAATTCAGAGACAAAAATTTTTTGTCAAGGAAGGTGCGCAATTTGGTGTGACTAATTGGCAGTCATACACAGATATTGAAGTACTAGAACACATCAAGGAAAATTTGTCAAGTGAACAGTTAAAATTGTTTAGGGAGTCATGCTTTAGATACTTCCTCGATTTGCCGCCTAATATATGTACACAAAATCAGATGATTAATGTATTGATGAAAATGGAGTTGAATGACTATTGTGCTTGCTGTTAGTATGGTATCCCATTTGAGGAAGCTTCCATCCACAACTACAATAGGCCTACGATACTCCCAACCCCTTACCGATGCGTATAGAGCTACAAATGCCTACACAAAGCACCCTCATCTGTTTTTCCAACCTCACAACTGATCTGGGGTAAGTCTTCTCCAAGATGTATAAATATCTAGGTAACCAGTTGTAGGACTCACCTGGATCACCTCTCAACATTTGGAAAGCATTTTGTTGTGCTCTCTAAGCCTGCATATATGTTAAGTTCACACCATGTTCCTTCAGCATGTCGAATTGTATGTCCTTCAATGTGTATATAGTTTTAGGATCTGCATATTTGGTAATAATAGTACTCCCGACAACCTGGGCAGTAGCTTGCCGCTATGTATAAGTATTATTCATCAACGAGTATGTGTGTACACTGTTGAATTCCCTTACCTTGAACATGGTCGATTTATTCAGGCTTGTAGACTTAACTTTCAATGCACAATGCTCGTTGAGGCACTCGAGGCAGTAGCTAAGAAATCAAACAATAAAATTGATGAAATACAAATAACATACAAAAATCATACAATCATAATATAAAAGTAAAATTCCTTTAATGCATTGCTTAATTGGCAAAAACATACTTATTCAACCATCATGCGAAATTGATACACTTACCATACAAAAATTACATACAGTAACGATACATAAAATGCTTAAACAACAAAACCAATGTTATAGGATTCATTCACTAAAACTATAAGAAACACAACAGGACATTAAATACATTTCCTTGCATGCTAATACAAAGTCAAGCTGGTATTATATTTGTATATTTGTCAAAAGTATTTACCTGTTTTCATATGACATTTTCACGCTGAATTGAAATTTATTCATAATACTTCATCGACACTGACAATCGTATCTTTGTTTTGGTAAATCTGACCAACGTCAATACTTTTAGGTCATGTGTCTGATACTCACAACAACCAATGTCATTACATGCATCCACCTCAAGCAACTGTACTTTCTCGGAAACGCTGCTGAATGTATCAACATCGTATGGTAATTGTAGTAGGCTATATTGTGTATTTTCATAAGACCTTGCAATGTTATTCTCGTCTGTCGTATTCCAATCCAGTGCGAATTCCTTCAGTGTTATACATAATGGATATATTCTGAACTCTTTGTAATTCCTTTTCGTCTCTATATACACTCGTAGCCCCATATCATTGTGAATCTTCATGGGAGGGCACCTGTCATTGACTTTTTATTTGATCTGCATAATTTTAACAGAGGTATCTATGGATAATTGCCGAGCAATGACTGAAATTAACTCGTCGTAGCTTGTCTCTATGTTCATTACAACTCTGTCGACATTGTATCGAGATATCGACCAATAATATCCCATTGGCCCGAGTGTTGAAGCATGATTGCCATAGTCGCCACTTGAATCTCTATCAGGCTTTGAATTAGAATCCTACTCGATATCGAACTTCAAAATTGTATCATAGTGACCATGATTTTTTTCCTAAAATCAGAATTTTGTTCTTCAAACAAAAAACTGATTTAATCGATGCTATTTAGATTTTACATATCGTTAATGGTAGAAAAGAGAAGAAAGGGAGATTCTGGACGGAGATCAAGCGATTTTGAGGTAGATGAATCCCAGAATTTCGATTGTAACTGATCGCTCATATCACAGTAGTATTAAAGGAAAATCCTACGGGCTTGGAAAAGTAATACACTAATTGTATATAAATTGTTAAAACACGTAGGATATTTGTTGAAAACTACTAAATCTAGAGAAAATTGATAATAAAGTCCTTACTATAGTATACCTAGGAAAAGTTCCCTAGATAATGGTCATCACTAACCATCGGAAGCATGGGATTATTAATATTACTTAATAAGTATTAGTTTAATAGTGGACTTAAGACTTGATTATGGTTAGCAACACTATGTAATATGTCATGTAAATATTTATATTTTTTTCATTTTAGGTTAGAATTTAGATTTAAAAATATTATGTAAAATATTTTTAAAATGATGGCCTGACTCGGCCTAGCCTGCGGCCCACTCAAGGCGGGGCTGACCATTTTAATGGTCCATCAAAATGGTGGACTCACACCAGTTCATACAATTCCAAGGCGTGCATGGGCATGCCTAGCCCATATGAACAACTCCATAAAGAATGACATTGTATAACTGCTCTCAAAATAATAGTCGAAATTATATATATATATATATATATATATATATATATATATATATATATATATATACACAAACACACATAAATCTTTTCAGTTGTTGGATGTAAATAGTTTCGCCCAAGGTGATCTTGCCCCAACTGTATATAATAGGTTAACAGCTATAAGCCTATAATGGGTTAATTGCATATTGTGAAAAAAAATTACCCGGCCACCAGGGGTGGGCATTCGGGAAATTAAGATTAAATAAGAAAATTTCAGCTTGGATTATAATCCAAATCTAATACAAATAAGCTCGGATTGGATCGATGTTTTAAGTTTGATTTCGGATTAGTCTGACTTGGATATTCCAAAATTTTGATTTTGAGCCTATAAGTTGAACATCTTCTTCTTCTTACAAAAATGAACATTTAAGCCAAGCATTCATGTTATATTGCCTTAATAGTTCCTCATTCTCATCATGATCATTCAAATAAAGTATTCATGCTAATAATGAAATCATTATCAAGGAAACACAATAGAAACATTAATAAACTCATAAGAATTAACCATAGTAAAATCATGTCAAATAGAAAGTATTCCGATAGTGACTTAGTAATTAATATTGGATATATGAGCTAATGTCTAATGAGTAAGATATTGGACTTATTTATTATTGGCATATCGGTAATGGACTAATATCTAAGGGATATGACTAAATATAAGGTATAAAAATTTTCGGATATACCCAAAAACCGAAGTATCAAATCCAATATAAAAAAATAAAACAAAAAAAATCGAAACTCAATCCGCAATCCGAAAATCCAAATAAAAAATTCAATTCGGATTTCGGGTTTGCCCAAACTATGCCCGCCCCTAGACAGTATACATAACTTAAATACTAATTAAATTAGTTTATTATTGTCCAAAACTATTTTTTGCTCCAACAGTCAACAACTCAAAGCCCAACCACACCATGATTAGTGGTCACCCTCGTATTAAGACAGACCAAGAAAGGAGGAAGACAGTATGTCATTGTCCATTTAGAAACTCTGTTCAAATCCCTCATGTTTTTTTCAAGCTTACTATACTCATAACTTCATGTGAAGGCAAAGTGAAACAACACCAAACTGTCTTCTCTTTTCTTCTAACTTGTACACTTGTTTTTTTTTAAAACTTTTTCCACAAAGTCCCATCTTCTAAACAAAACCAAGCCAATTCCTGTGTCTTTTTCGAAAAGATTTAACTTATACATACTGATCATACTCAAAATTTTACACTATCAAGTGTTATACGGGAATTATAAATATATTGGTAAATGTTTGATTTATTGAACTTAAAAAGCAATTATACATAGTATAGTATAAAATATGTATTTGATTTTATACTAGATAAACTTGAATAAATATTTACTTTTAATTTTGACCTTGTCTTTCTTAAGAGACTTCGGAAGAAGAGCTTTGGAGAAAGGCAAATATGTCATTTTGTTGTTTCAACCCAGGTTTAATGTTCCCGGGATTGTAATCCTACATAGAGTGGGGTATAAAAATAGTATTACAATTGTGGTATAAACAATTCTGATGTTGCTTATAATTTAATATAAAATTCATCCAAACACGGGATAAAATAAACTCATATTTTATCCGGAGATTATTATCCTTATCCCTATAACCCTTTCAGTAAAATATCAGGCAGAGTTTAATTGCAATTCAAACAAGAGAACGAAGGACAGTTACTTGAGTTCTTGCTCCTTATCCCTATTTATTTCCTACTAACTTATCTGCTTTTTTTTTTTTTGTTTTTCCACCCGGTGTCCGACACCTGCATTGGAGCCCGACTATATCTGGATTCGGGGGGAAGCGTAGGGCCCCATTCGGGGGGAAGCGCTCCTTACCAAAGATTTTTCCACACCCATGGCTCGAACCCGAGACCTCTGGTTAAGGGAAGAGCAGATTTTTCCACACCCATGGCTCGAACCCGAGACCTCTGGTTAAGGGAAGAGCAGTCTCATCCACTGCACCACATCCTTTTGTGGTAATTTATCTGCTATTGTCTAATGTTCTTCCTTATCCAAAACGTCCGCTGAACGATCCCTAAATGTATTTTATCTATTTTAGCAAATAACCAACCTTATTTTCCAAGTTATTAATCCTACCTTTCATGGGCGATTACTTGTAATCATCATTAGGCGACCTGAAGTAAACATTATTTTACACTATAAGTGTATGTATAGTAATTAAAACTCTGAAATGAAACAACCACCACAATCCACATAGTCTTCCTCTCTGTCAAATATTGATACAAATATGTTAAAACCTGGAAAACTTCCATGTTTAACCTTCATGCTAAGCAAGGTTAGGTGAGTGACAGCAACTTTGAACATCAAACTCCCTTCAACAACTTTTTGCAAAATCCTTCCTTTTACAACATCTCTTGTACAAGGTGTCTTTTACAATTCAACTAATCAAAAACTTATCATATGAGTGATTTCCAAATTGAAATAACTTGACCAAGAACACCAATAGTACTCTAGTTAAAGCCAGAGTACCAATATTGGTTCTTATTTTTCTTTGTTATTGAATGAAACAAACAATGCAGCTTCTCATATCACCAAGTCTAAGGCATGTTACTCTCCTACCAGCTAAAGGTTTCAAGGAGTTCATCAAAGTAAAAGTTGGTTCAAGACGATTATCGTATCTCATGGTCTTCTATTCACTCCTGCTTTTTACATTTCTTCTCCGGTTTGTCTTCGTTTTAACAGCTGTAGACACCATCGATGGTGAACGAAAATGTTCAACGCTAGGTACATCTCTCTCTCTCTTTCTTTCTCACACACATACACGCGCCCACAATTCACCAAACCAAGAAGCATGTATAAGAAGATGTATTAAGCAGCACTGGATATAAGAAATATAGAAGCATTAATGAGGATCTCTCAGCATACTGAAGAAACTCCAAATTTCATGTTACTGCAGGTTGCTTGGGGAGAAAAATTGGACCAAGGATTTTGGGAAGACAGCTCGAATCAACTGTATGCTTCTGAGCCGTGTATTTTTTATCCTTTTGTGCATAGTACTGTCCCCTGCACCTACCTAATAACTCTGAAATCTCCTTTCATTGTGCTTTTATAGCTAACTTCTAAAATCACATGCTAAAATCTCTATTCCCCTGACTTCTGTTAGGTTCCAGAGGTGATATACCAAGTATTGGAGGAACCTTCAGACCAGATTGAAATGGAAGCAGGTCCCGAAACTCCTCAAACATTAGAAGAGTTTATGGCAGAAATGAAGGACACAAAGCCAGATGCAGAAACCTTTGCTGTCAAACTTAAAGCTATGGTATTGTGCACTTATCATGCTTTCTCCATTATACATAGATATAAAGTAATTCTAAGATACCACAATGTGTAATCACATTAACCAGTCAAGGCAAAAAAACAGATCTCGTATGCAATCCAGAAGAAGAAAACAGTTACTCCTAATCTGCCTAGCTGCGAGTCAAGGCCTGATTAGTGTTGAATTATGTGACCATCTCATCTAAAAGTTTAAGCTGTAAGCTGTAAGGGAGAGCATATTGTTATTTACTTATTTATGTCTTCAACACACCTCTCGTGTGAGCCATATTCCTTTTTATGCACCTAGGATGTGAATTTCTTTTTTTTTTTGATAATGGATGACAATGAGACTCGAACTCAGGACCTACCTCTGCTTAAGCTGATACCATGTAGAATCATTACTGTCTCATCTAAAAGATTAACTTATTAGAGAGAGTAGTACACTTTTACTGAATTATGTCTTCAAAAATTAGTGCCTATTTATTGCAGGTAACTCTCCTTGAACAAACAACAAGAACTGCCAAAATTCAAGAGTACCTTTATCGGCATGTGGCATCTAGTGGCATCCCGAAACAGCTGCACTGTCTTGATCTCAAGCTAGCGCATGAGTATTCTATCAACGCCAATGCCCGTCTCCAATTACCATCAGCGGAACTTGTTCCTGCCCTGGTTGATAATTCATATTTCCATTTTGTCCTTGCCTCTGACAATATTCTTGCTGCTTCTGTTGTTGCATCATCGCTCGTCCAGAACTCTTTCCGCCCTGAAAGAGTTGTCCTTCACATAATCACGGATAGCAAAACCTTCTCACCGATGCAAGCTTGGTTTTCATTACATCCTTTGACACCTGCAATCATCGAGGTTAAAGCGTTGCACCATTTTGATTGGTTAACAAAGGGAAAGGTCCCAGTTCTGGAAGCAATGGAAAAAGACCAGAAAGCAAGATCACAATTCAGGGGAGGATCATCAGCAATCGTAGCAAATACAACCGAAAAGCCTCATATCATTGCAGCAAAGTTGCAAGCCCTCAGTCCCAAATACAATTCCCTAATGAACCACATAAGGATATATTTGCCAGAAGTAAGGGTAGTTTAATTTCAAGCTCACCTAAATTGCATATAACATCCATCTTTTTTTTATGCACTTAAAATTTTCAATACTGAGAAGTACAAATATTTTTGCAGTTGTTTCCCAGTCTTGATAAGGTAGTCTTCCTGGATGACGACGTCGTCGTTCAAACTGATCTTTCATCTCTATGGGACATTGACATGAATGGAAAGGTGAATGGAGCAGTGGAGACATGTAGGGGAGAGGACAAATTTGTGATGTCAAAGCGCTTCAAAAGCTATTTGAATTTTTCTCATCCTATGATATCAAACAACTTTGATCCGAATGAATGCGCATGGGCTTATGGCATGAATATTTTTGATCTAGAAGCATGGAGAGAAACAAATATAAGTCAAGCATACCAATATTGGCTTGAACAGGTAACTATAAGCAGTGGCAGAGCCAGAAATTTCAGTAAGGGGGTTCAAAATACAAAGGAGTAAACATACAAGGGGATTGAACATCTAATATATATACATAAAAATTTTGACCTAGTATATATAGTATGATTTTTCGGCTCCGCCCATGACTACAAGTGACATCAACTTTTACTTCAAAGAAATGCATTCCAAACATTCTGCAAAATTCTTGAATTTTGTTTCAACCAGTAAATCTTTTAAAGTTATTCGAAAATGCTTACTAAAAAAGTTAGTGATCTAGTTTTCCTTCTGTTGTGCAGAACTTGAAGTCAGACCTAAGTTTGTGGCAGCTAGGAACATTACCTCCAGGTCTAATTGCATTTCACGGTCATGTCCATGCCATTGAATCCTTCTGGCACATGCTAGGACTCGGGTACCAAGATAATACGAGTATTGCGGACGCTCAAAGTGCTGGTGTGATCCACTTCAACGGTCGAGCAAAACCTTGGCTAGATATAGCATTCCCTCAACTTCGACCCTTGTGGACAAAGTATGTCAACTTCTCTGATAAATTTATCAATAGCTGTCATATTAGAGAAACTTGAACCTGGGGAAAGGATTTGTTGACCATGTTGCTTGTAAACAAGAAACAAAATTTTGAGAAAGGTGAACCATGTATAGAAGGTTTCGCTCCGTGACGCGAGATGGCAACAGCCCCGAGCCTGACATTCTGGAACTCTTCAAGGCTACTATACTTTCTGCTTCCCTGATGTACTTTACTCTATAGTTAGATATTGTACAATTTACGGTGGATTCTTTCACTAAATAATACTTAGATATAATAAGAAAAGATACTCTTCCATCCAATTTATGTGACGTAGTTTGACTGGGCATGGAGTTTAAGACAAAAATGAAAGGACTTTTGGAACTTGTGGTCTTAAACTTGCCATGAGATTTTTGTGGCTATATGCCATTAAGAGTAAAATGGAAAGTTTAAGGTCAAATTGAAACCAAATAGAGGAAGGTGCGTTCTTTTTGGAATAGACTAATAAAGAAATAGTGCCACGTAAATGGAACGGAGGAAGTATCATCTTACGTACCATACTAAGTGTGTTTTTGAGGTATATCATGCAGACCACGTATGCAAGGAACCGGAGGTACCAAAAGAGACTGAAATCACTATACAGGCAAAAGGAGAGAACTTGTGCAGAAAATAGCTTCCACCTTCTTGCAATATGAGCATTTATGTTGACGCCTAATTCATGACAGCTACCAATTCTCCTAAAACCAACTATTTAATTCATTTATCTTCTGATTGGTTTTTGATAAGTTAAAACACTAACAAAATGTCTTCAATAGATTTGGTTTTTGAAAAAACTTACATTAGTTTTTTGAAACACTTTATGCTCTCAATACAGCCAAATATGCAATTTATCTGGAAAAGTCATTGCTTTTTATTTAAAAATACAAACAAGCAGATAAAGAGGACTTCAGCAAGCATTAGTCCGAGATAAGTACAAAAACTCACAACTCACATATATACTTAGCGAAGCTAGAAGTCAGGTTAGGCCAAAGCTAATAGCTTTCATCCAAACCCTACAACCAGTTACTAACACCTGATATTGCTATCCTAGAATTTAGAACCCATAAAGTCCAATTCCTGGCTCTTGCCTATGTTAGGTTTCACAAGATTCAAGGCATTTATCAACAACTATTTGCTACTAAAACTGTTCTCATTCCTTTTGGGTTTCTAAGTACAAACTGAAATCCATAAAATCTGAACCACAACGCGAACTCGACACCACTAATTTACACAACAAAAACAGTATATACTACACGAAAAAGCAACAGCATGCAATTCAGAAGATTTGGAGAGGAACAAAAGGGGCAAACTTTCAGATGAAATTGAGCAAAAACTATACAAGCAAACATGGAGTCCGAGAATCCCAAAAATTCAAAATGCACAACAATAAAATGGTAGAAATT